AAGTTGAGAGTATTCAAAACTGCACAATTAATTTTGTGAACAATGGGAAATTGTAAAAGAACGAATTTCTGTTCTAATAAGAAATTATCAGGAAAATAAACTTTGTTGTTTATTGCGGTTAATGTTTTTGTATGCTGCCTTTAGGGAATAATTTGGTATTAAAATTAACGTGAAAGATCTCTAGTGATCATAGTAATCATATTTTCATTAATAATTCATTGATGATTTAGTTGTTTATGAATTGTACCCCGATTTTCCCCGCGACCGAAATCAAAACCCTCTCTGGGCTTTTCAGAATGATTGTTCTATACTGGCTATAAAAGGTTCATACAAGTGATAGGCTAATCAGCTCATGAATTATTAATGCATTTTGAATCAGATTATTTTAGCGGGTGGATGTGCAATGTCTCCTAGTAAATTGCTCGTAAATCAGCAAGAAAGTTTCGAATCACTCTTTTTTGTTTTTATCAAAGACTTAGTATACAGCAAAGTTTACTAACAGTCACAACTATTTTATTGATATATTTTTATATTTCGATTATTTACAATTTTATACTGCATATTTATATATGCAATAACAAAATTTTACCAAATTAAATGTCAAAGAACAGTCTAAATACTCCCAGCTCAGTATATGAAAACAATCGAGCAAATACCTATGGCTGTACAATTGCTTTATCTTAGATGTAACATTACTCGAAGCTGTACATCTAAACATTATTAATGATCTGGTACAATTAAATTTTGCATTCTTGTTTTCGTGTTAGACTTGCTATGAAACAAAAGTTTTAAAACTTGTGTATGAAGATTGTCAAGCAAGGTTTTGATATCCATGACTGAAGTTTGAAGCGAGGGCTTTCGCTTTGTATAGTACAAAGTTAATAAAACAGAATAATGAAACAGAATAATAAAACAGATTTGTCTTCCGACTGAAATGCTATAATTATTGACCAATCACATTTGATATCTAAAGGCCTATTTGACCTGCAAGATTTCTAAGAAATTCGTCCAAGTTTACCACTCACTTGTCGGGGGAGGGGGTGGGTGCTACTTTTAGTAAGCTATGCCAGATCAAAAAAATATCTTTGTTTGGTTCTTGCCGGATAAAAAATGTACCGCAAAAGTTTCAAGAAGATATATCGGAGTCGTGTCAAGTTTTGGAATACTCGCTCCTTGAAATAAATGCCGCATTAGAGGCAAGCTCCAAGAGTAAATACGGTGGGCCACTCAGGGACTGGGACTAGGGTTTAGGTTTGGTCTCAGTTCCCTACATCTGTCGGCCAAGATGGCTTCCTGAGCAGTGATCAATTTTAAAGGCAGCTGTTTATTGAATGCCTTGCCTTTGATTGACTTGCAATGAATACTTAGGTTTATTTCATGAGAGTGTTATTTCCAATTGTTGTTTTTTCGCCTGATTCCAAGGTGTACAGTTAACAATGCTGGAAAATTACCTAGTTCATTTCCTGACTACAAGAACATCTAAGGACAATATTTAAGAAGCAAGATGTCTGTAAAAGGTGACGAAGATCTTTCAAAACGTACGCTATGGGAGAGATTGAAGGAACCCTTCTACAAAGAAAGGTTTGAAAAGTGTAAAAAATGTAAAATGTTCTCACCACAAGATCTACCATGTTGTCGTGCACTTGGAAAACACGCTAGCGGTATCTTTTCTGGAAGACTACGTTAATGATTTAGCCCCTGAAAACTTGACATCCTTGATTTAAGTCGAAAAGTAACCACTTTAACGCTGTTGAATTTTTGAGTGTTTTTCTCTTTTTGTGATATGTTTTACTCAAGCTTAAAGGCATTTTTTTTTAATTAAGTACTAGAATGTTGGAGAATGGTGAATCTGAAGAAGAAACTGTTTGGCAGAGAGTAGAAGCATTATTTGAAATCAGGTGGGTATGATAGAGACCATCACTAATGTCATGTTTCCCCCTTTACCCCCCCCCTTGGGGTCATTTTCCGCTGTTCCATTTTTTAGGATTTGGGGTCATTTTCCATTCTACCATTCTACTGTTCTTGCTTTTAGGATTGCCCTTCTAATAAAAGGGTTTGTTTTAAAAATTCACTCCATTGTTAGAATAAATCTGCTGGATAATTCTGCAGGATTCTTCTGCTGGATAATTCTTCTGGATTATTCTTCTGGATTATTCTTCTGGATTATTCTTCTGGATTATTATTTTGGATTATTCTTCTGGAGAAGGATGTGATGAGATGAAATGATAAATTTTGAAATCTATTGATTTTATAAATTAGTTTTCGGTTTCTTTGTTCAATAAAATGTAGGTTGCTCATTAACAAATGGTAAACACCACAGCGCACACTATTGAGTTATGGATGCACACGGGAGGTTGCTAAGCATGAAAGAAGTGTAAGAGTCGCTCGAGGCAATAGCCGAGAGTGACTCTAGCTTCTTGAGTGCTTAACAAACCTCCCAAGTGCATCCATAACTCAATAGTGTATGCTGTGGTGTTTACCATTTGTTTTATAACATAACATTGATACACTGTAGCTAAAGAGTTCCCTTTTATTTAACAAATCTTACGCGACCAGAAAAAACAAGCGCGCGCGGAAAAATAGTCTTTGCATTTGCTCACGTCAGCAGCGTACACCCATGGGCAAATGGGGGACGCTAAATTGACCAATCAGAGCGCGCGCTTTACTTTGGTTATGTTATACGAAAAATTACGATAAATTCGATTAGTATAGAAGCAGTCATTTCAAAGATTAACTCATAGTCGTAATGATTTGCTCATCTTTTCCTTTAGTCTTCTGGCTGATTCCTTCCTCTTCCAAAGCCAGCTGTCCACTTTCTGTGGGGCTGTTCGACTTGATGGCCTGTTCGACTCTCGACATTTCCT